ATTTGATATTTTATGTTTTTTATCTTCCTTATTCACACAAGGGGACAAGGCAAACGGCATTTCTCACTAAGCAGTGGGAATTTATGAGAGCCTGCTTTATCATCTTTCTGCAAACAATTCCACTGTCTACCTACTCATCATTCCCATCTGCCTCCTTTCCACACAGCTGAAGTCTGCAAAAAGACTGGAAATGAATAATAATGTATATCAATGTGGCCATATTTGTCTTCAAGATGCATATCAGTCTGCACTGGTATCTTAACACGGATCTTAGTAGTATCTTAATAAGTATCTTGCTGGGAATTCACCTATATCTCATGGAACCCGGTGATGTGCTAGTGCCGAGGTTTTCAACCTTTTTAATTTGCGGAGACCCCTAAAACATTTTGAATGGAGGTGCAAATCCCTTTGGAAATTTCAAATGCAGGTGCGGATGCTTTTGAATTGTAAGTGTGGGTACAGGGCCGTGGGGGGTATTTTCAGACTGTGTCCCTCCTTCTCTGAAGCGTGGATACTCAAACCCACGGTTGGCGAGGGAAACCTGTATTCACATACTTTTGATTGATCATAGTCATCGTTCATGGAGCCCTTAGACATAGTCTGTGGGCCCCCAAGGGGTCCACCAACCACTGCATTAGCACAAGCTCATCTGACAGTGTGCTCTAGTAATGCCATCAGGTTGAAATGAACTGACAGAGTGCCTGGTGCCATCACTGCATCTTGCCATGAGGTGACGTGTCAGGGTAATGCCATCAGGTCACAGCATGCCACGGTGGCATGGGAGATGCTGTGACAGTGCCCCACAACATACTAAGGCGCCAGTGCATTTATACCACCCTGTCATGCCTGCTATGGGGAGTGCGTGAGGCCACCCCTCCCCACCACAGGAGGGCTGCCACACACTGGCCTGGCCAAGGTATGCTGACAGGGGTGTGCGATGCGCCAGTGTGATGCCAACCTGGTAGGTGGGCTGACAGGGGTGTGTGATGTCACCCTGGACTTCAGTGTGACATGGGGCGCTGAGGTGAGGGCACTGCTGAGGTGTCTGCCCTGGGCTGTGGGCACCCGGATGGGGGCGCCCCTGGCAGCCCCGCGGGTGGGGGTGGGGGCGGGGCCGTTGCTATGGGGC